ACATCAGTAAATCAACAATTTGGAACACCTAAGGAAATAACTGACTCAGGCAAGGATCATTCATGTATTCTAAGCCACTTAATGTAAGGTTAATGAAAACTGGACATTCACAAGGTGCCAAAGTATCAACATACAGATAACTTCCTATTAAAATGGGGGGAAATGTCATTGTTGAATGGAGGGATTAGACTGTCATCAACTTACTGGAACATTAAAGGTCAGACCGGCATGAGATGTTACGTGATATGAAACATAAAGCACAATCTGTGAAGTCTTTTGCAATTAAATATTTTACCTGAACATAGTCAAGCTCTGAGACCTAACTCTAAGTACATAAGACAGACTGGGGACAAAGAACAAATTTAACCAACCATGAAAAAGCAATCAGATAAATCTAATGCTTGGAAGAATAATGTAGTCTTCTATGGTAATGGGGTCTTCAACAAGTCGATGCCATTAAGGAATGAGAGGGGACACTATTCTAAATTAAGAGACTGAAGAACCCTAACAAATAAAACACATGGCCTCTGACTGGATCACTGTTTGAACAAAACAGTTATAAAATGTACTTGGGAGATAATTTGGGAAATCTGAATATGGTCGGAGTTTGTTATATAATAACAATCTAGTAAGATATAAAATTGGTATCATGGTTATATAGAAAAAGTCCTTACTTTTAAAAAGTACCAATTAGCGTATTTAGGGGTAAATGATATCTGTAATATAAATTAATATTTCCAAAAAAGTATACCAACATGTTAATAAACTTACTTCTAGGTGATGGGATTACACTATTCACTCTTTTCTATATGTTTGAAAATGTTCATAATAAAGTGAAAACATAAAAGAGAAACAAAATGAAAGAACTAAGTCCGATCACACCACTCTCCTACTCAAAATCCTCCAATAGCTTCACCCAGTATCAAAGCCAAAAATCTTGCAGCACTAGCTCTATGTGATGTGGTCTCTCAGCTCTGACCTCATCTCCTACCACTCTCCCCATCAGTCTGATCCAGCCACACTGGTCTCCTTGTTGTTCTCCAACACATCAGGCATGCTCACACCTTAAGGCCTTTGCCTAGAGCCTCTTCCCCAGATATCTGCACAGTTTAAACCTCATATCCTTCATTTCATTGCTTATATCTACTTTTTCAGTGAGGTATACTCTCACTATTCTATGTAAAAGTGCAACCTACCACTCCAGCACTCCCACTCTTCCTTACCCTGCTCTATACTTTTTTTTGCCCCATCTCATTGATCACCTTCTAACATACCATATAATTTACCTCAAATATAAGCATCATGAAGGCAATAATTTCTATTTGCTTACAGATGTAGCCCCAACACCTAGAACACTACCTGGCACATAAGAAGTACCCAATCAAATTTTTTTTCCATTTTTTTTTTTTTAAAGTAATCTCTATACCCAATGTAGGGCTCAAACTCACAACCTTGAAATCAAGAGTCTTGTGCTCCACCGACCATGCCAGCCAGGTGCCCCCCTGATCAATATTTTTTTTTTTTTAAGCAGGCTCCACGCCCAGCATGGAGCACAATGCAGGCTTGAACTCATGACCCTGAGATCAAGACGTGAGCTGACATCAAGAGTTGGACACTTAACTGACTGAGCCACCAGGTGCCCCCAATCAACATCTCTTAAGTGAGTGAATTTAAGTTATAATAATGCCTAGCCATGATACCACTATTACTACTGTTGTGTTCTGAATCCAGAAATTAAGGGGCTGTGATATGGGTGAGAGTCATCATCTCTTTCCTCTTTCCTGTGGCAAGACAACGCCAGCCAAGTTTATCTTTTGGTTCCCTCACACTTCCTAGTACTCCTTTCTTTCTGTCCTTTGTGCTAATCCTCATGCTGTCCCTAAGCCCTCTATCATAGCCATCCCTGTTAGGAGAATCAAGCAGATGTGCCTGCCAAATTTTCCAAAGTGTGCTCTCAAACTGCCTACATCCCCTGCCACCCTTCCAAGTCAAAACATCCAGTATAGCTGATCCCAGGTTGAAACTAGGATAAAATCACTCTCACTAACTTCATGGCATAAATAATCAGCTTTGTCTAGAAGTCCTAGCACTAAGGGAAAAAAAAAAGTCTGTTCATCCAAATAAGTCCCAACTGGTGAAAATATGGGTTGTGGGCAAGGGGAATGAACATTTTTCAGATAATGATAAGAAGAGGGGAGGGTGGAGTAAGGCAAGGGACCAATACACAAGGGTGACCATGTATGCCTAGGAGCCAATTCCCAGGCTTACATGCCCTAAGCACCTCTTCACTTTCATGGTTGTCCTTATTTTACCTCTCAGACCACAAATTATCGAAAATCTTTGACATTTTTTCCTCTAACCTCAGTGGTCCTTAAGACTGCAGATTTGTACAAGATAGCTCAGGCAACAGAAACAAAGGAATGGTGTTACACAGAGCAATATAAGGGTTACTCTTTCCAATAATAGATTATTTCTAAATCAAATGTTCCTTGCTGGGTATTTCTTATATAAGAAAAGGGCCCATCATCTATTTAAAAAAAAAAGATTATTCCATGGGGCGCCTGGGTGGCTCAGTCGTTAAGCATCTGCCTTCGGCTTAGGTCATGATCCCAGGGTCCTGGGATTGAGCCCCGCATCGGGCTTCCTGCTCGGCGGGGAGTCTGCTTCTCCCTCTCCCACTCCCCCTGCTTGTGTTCCCTCTCTCACTGTGTCTCTGTCAAATAAATAAATAAAAATCTTTAAAAAAAAATTAAAATAAAAAAAAAAGATTATTCCAACACTGTCAACCCCCCAGGGATATTTTAATTCAGCTCAAAAGTGTTACCATTATGAGGAATATTTTCATATAAAAATTTCTAAACTCTAAAACTCACATTCAACTAATAATACTTGATGTTATGCAGTAGGTCATCATTATTCACTGTAATATGCTCTGAAACCTACAGTCTCCAAAGCTGTAACCTATATTCTAATTAATTAAGCGCAAGTTAAATTTCAGCTACCCTATCACTTTAGCGATTGGCTTCATGTTCTCAAACCCAAAGCAATCATGGTACCTCTTAAGATGTGATAAATACTTCAACTTCTCTTCCTTGTACTAAGAGTGGACTCCCTGGCTGCTGGTAGGAATGGGGAAAGTTGCCATCACTAATTTTTGAACAAAGATGAAGTACTCTTGCCTAAAAACCCTGCCATGTGTCTTGTTTGGTATCAAAATGCTATATGAAGTTCTGATCTGATTTCTCTTCTGGAGCATCCCAGAAAATGGAAAATAAAAGATAAGCAGAGGCAGTAGGTGGTGTTATCATTTGAGAATACTAAAAGAAATCATCTTACTATCCTGAATTTGAGCTCCAGAGGACAGGAAAAGACCCTCTTTACCAGAGTATCCTCAGTGCCTAGCAAAGCAAGAGCATATCATAAACATTCCATAAATGAGTATTTCTTGACTAAGTATCCCAGGCAGGTAGACAAATTAGGAAAGCTATACCAAAAGGATGGACAATAGAGGCCTTATTACATTAAAATCGTCCATGCTATCATGAAAGTTATCTTCCTAAAAACATAGATCACTCATTTACAATTAGTGAGCATTTACTATAGGCTAAGCAGTAAATTAATCCAGAGAAGTTATTAAAATATAGACCCCACCCTAAATGGCTCACAATCTGACAAGGGACACAGATACAGTTTATGCTAATATAACCTGATAAGTGCTAGAAGTCTGTGTCAGGTTTTATGAGAAGAGATTAAGAAATAACTAATTCCACCTGGGTGAAGTGACAGCAAGACTTTACAGAGCAAGTAACACTTGATCTTAAAGAATAAATAGGAGTCCTCAAGATGAGGAAAAGACAGGTGAGAGGGTTGAGTAAGAAGAGTTTTCTAGTTATAAGGAACTGCATATAAATAAAGGTCTATATATACTAATGTCTATACCTAAATTTAGGAAATGGCTAGTAATTTAATAGGACTAGAATATTAGATTTGAGGGGGGAAAACCACTAAATATGAGGCTGGAAAGAAAGAATGGGGCTAGATTGTGAAGAGCCTTTTCTGCCATGTTTAGAAGTTTGAATTTTATCCTGCAAAGGTTTTTGAGCAGTGGTCAATTCAATCTCTTTTAAAATATAACAGTAGTACTAATATGAAAGACAGACTGAAAGAGAAATAGAGGCAGACTTGCTAGGTAATTATTATAGTGACTTAAGTGAAAAGTAATGTAAAATATGCCTCAAGAATTTATCCACGTCCATAAAAAAATTCCTACGGTCATTGCCTATATAATAAAATTCTAACTCAACACAGTACCTTTGACAATCTAAAGTGTGCCTACCTTTCCAACTTCACTTCTTGTTCTTTCTTTTCCCTATATCTTACAATCCAGCCACATCAGACTATGTACCATTTCTTCAATCGGTTATATACATTCATACTGCCATGTCTTCACTCAGTTTATTTCGAAAAACAACTCTCAACAAACTCCTACTCATCCTTCAAGGACTGGGTTAAAAAAGAGTTGTATCGGGCGCCTGGGTGGCTCAGTTGGTTAAGCGACTGCCTTCGGCTCAGGTCATGATCCTGGAGTCCCAGGATCGAGTCCCGCATCGGGCTCCTTGCTCAGCAGAGAGCCTGCTTCTCCCTCTAACCCTCCTCCCTCTCATGCTCTCTGTCTCTCATTCTCTCTCTTGCAAATAAATAATAAAATCTTAAAAAAAAAAAAAATTAAAAAAGAGTTGTATCTATAAAGTCTTCTCTGATTCCATCTCTCCCAAGGCAAAAATTTATTATGCTTTGCTCTAGGCTTTCACATCACACCATTCATACTACTAATATAGTACTTATCATATGGCATTGTTAGCTATCCATTTATCTACCTGCTTTGCTAGAATGGCTGAGCTGAAACCAATCATTTACAAATAAAATTCAAATTAAGTTATACATATAAAACCATGAGATTTATCGATGTCTGTACACACACACACACATTTTTTTTTTACCTGGTAAAACTTGAATTTGAACCCAAGAATATGACACAGTGTTTGCGGTTCACACATACTCATGTAAGATTCTAATAAAGATATAAAGAAGTCATCATGTTCTGGCCTGCATTCAAACACTTCTAAAATGACATCCAAAACTCTATTGGGATCCAGATTAAAGCATCCTGCAACAGATGAGATACACACAAATTCAAAAGTGATTATACATCATTTCTAATAATTAAACCATTAATTTTCAGGGACAACTTATATAACAAGATAAAATGTTTTTAAAAACAACTTCTTTTACAAGTTTGCTTCCCTTGCATCAGAGGATAATCTTTATAATTTTCAAGATGATCAAGTCCACTCCCCATATTTTACAGATGAGAAATATGACTTGCCCAGGATTACAAAGTGGGTTAATGACAGAACTGGGGCTGGAGCCCAGGACCTGCGACACACAGACAAGTAAACTTTCTTCTATGCCACACTGTCTCAGGTCTTGATTACTCAGGCTAGTTAAAGAGATCCACATTTTTAATTCTCAGGAAAATATGACAATCAAAAATGCATTTACAAGTTAGGCAACTAAAGGGTTTTCCTTAATATTTCAAGAAGCATTTGGAATGTTGGTAAACAATTAAAAGTTCAGGTTCATAAAAGCAGAACATCATTTTTAGAATAATTTCTTAGTTTATCTTACATACACAACAAAACTATAAAATATAAACCGCACCACTGATTTATATCTATGGTTTTTGGCAGCATTCTAAGGAGAAAACAAGTATACTACTGATACTGAAGAGATGAAAGAACACCAAGGAGTTGGGGACATAACCAAAGAGCGTAGATAACACAAGCAAAGAGAGGAGGAAAACAATCTAGGCAGAGCCAGAAAAGAAAGGAAAAGCAGCACTGAATAGGCACCGATGGCTACTTATCCTTGCTAATCTCATGAGGTAAAGCTAAAGAGGGCCAATGGACACAGATTTAGTAGACATTCCTATCAGCGACCCTATTCTTAATACATTATTAATTCCATTTGCATCCAGCTTCACCTGTTACCATATATTATAGTGTAGTCCTATCATATGTGCATTTAATTTATGAGAATTTGCACAAAACAAAAAAAGTGAAAGAGGGGCACCTGGGTGGCTCAGTTGGTTGGGCGACTGCTTTCGGCTCAGGTCATGATCCTGAAGTCCCAGGATCGAGTCCCGCATGGGGCTCCCTGCTCAGCACTTCTCCCTCTGACCCTCCCCCCTCTCATGCGCTCTCTCTCTCTCATGCTCTCTCTCAAATAAATAGAATCTTTAAAAAAAAAAAAAGTGATAGAAATAAATTTAAACAATACAGGAGGTTCCACCCACCATTCCTCTCAATAAAACATATGCTTATGACCCAGAGTGAGCACGAAATATCAATCTGCTGTTTCCTCAGTTTATATCAATTCCCATATGCCTTGCACATCAAGCTGAATGGAATTCTAGAATTTTAAATTACATAGTTTTCATTAGACATAGCACCTCCATGCAAGCTAACCACTTCATTGGGGCAAATAAATAAATATTCCTTTCTTCTAATGCTGGAGGAAGAAAAAACAACTGTGTTGAACTTAGAAATCTTAGTTCTGAACACTGTATTTTATAGATGACTTAAGAGATTTTTCAAAGAAAATTCTTATATAACCTATTATAAGAGATTTCCAGAGTTACTTTTATTAACTCCACACTTAGTTACATTGAATGCTATAAAACTAATATCTGATTCACAGTATCTTAGCAATCACTTGGAAAACCAAACTCTCCAAATATAAAAAGTATTTCTTTCCTCGTTTTATGAAATCCAAAGTTAAGAATACATTTTCTTCTATTTCTCATACTAAAGGGAAAAAAGACTAACACAGTGATTATGTCTCACTGAAAAGAGCTCCAGATTTTCATAAATTCTCCAAAGAAATATTTACCTAAAGTTCTGAGAAAAAAACTTCTAAATATTTTTGTCTCTCTCTATACCCTCCAAAAGTAGCCTATGAATGTAAAAGTCACTCCAGAATAGCAAATGGAATTTTTAAAGGCTATTGGTGGAAATATAAAATGCAAAATGGCACAACTACTTTGTAAAACTGGCAATTTCCTTAAAAATTAAACTTACAACTACCCTATGACCCAGCCATTTCATTCTTAAGTATTTACCCAAGAGAAATAAATGTCTATGTTCATACAAAGACTTGTACAAATGTCTTTGATAACAGCTTTATTTTCTTATAACAGCTTTATTTATAATAGTACCCTCTCAAATGTCTATCAGCATGTAAATGGACAAACTGCAGTACAGTATAACTGTCAAATATACAGTAGACTACTACTCAGAAATAACAAGAATAATACAAGCAAAAACGTGGATGAGTCACAAAATAATTATGCTGAATGAAAAAAGCCAGACCAAAAAAGAATACTCACTATATGATTCCATTTATTAAAAAAATTCTCAAAAATGCAAACTAATCTATAGTGACAGAAAACAGACCAGTGGTTACCTGGAGAGGGGGAAACAGAGTGAAGGAGGATGAAACACAAAGGGGCAAGAAGAAATCTGGGGGAAGGGGGTAGTGGTAAATGTGCATTATCTAGATTGCTGTGGTGTTTTCACAGATGCATACATGTTATAACTCAAACTGTACACCTTAAATATGCAGTTTATTTATGTCAAGTATGCCTCAATAAAACTGAAAAAAAAAATGCCTCCAAACTGTTCTAACAGACAGTAAAGATTGTGAAAGTAAGACCTAGCAAATTCTCTAGCCTTATAACTGCTAATTTACTAAATATAAAAATCCAATCACCAAATAAAAATACTCTATCAGAGATGACAAAAGATATATTAGATATAATTTTGAAAAAATTGCTGGTTTATAATTACCCGTCAAGCTCCCACTAGAACATGTTACATGGGAATGCTGTGCTTCATGAATCACATTGCTTTAAAGTTTTGTGGGTTTTTTTAAGATTTTATTTATTTAGGAGAGAGAGTGTGTGTGAGAGAGAGAGCACGAGCAGGGTAAGGGGCGGGGGAAAAGCAGACTCCCCCGCTGAGCAGGGACCCCAATGCAGGGCTCGATGCCAGGACTTCAGGATAATGACCGAAGCTGAAGGCAGATGCTTAACAAACTGAGCCACCCAGGCGCCCCTAAAATTTGTATTTTCAATGTGCTACAGTGTGAGCCACCTTCATTATGTTTTTTTAACAGTATTACTGCATCAAGGCTATTCTATCAGTGATCCGTACTGTCAACTAACTACCAGTTTCTTTTCTAGATGCAATTTAAGGCAGTAATCTAAAAGAGAAGATATGTACCTTTATTTATAACAGATATCAACCTTTGCATCTTTCACAAAAGAAAAACTGGCTTATGAATTTTCTATTAAGTGTCTCAAGTTTAGTGCAACCAACTAGAATGACCTTTGCTCCATAAGATGGAAAAAGTAACCAAACCATGTATTTAGAAAATGATTTTTAAAACCTTAAAGATCTGCTAGGTAACAGTTAAGCTATTTCATATAGAATAAGACTCTAGTAACAATCAGTAAGCTTGGAATGTCCAAAATAATTTTTTTTTCCCTAATGGCAGCTGTCGGTAGAACATAGGCACTCTTGTGCTCAACCATCTTAGAAAGGCTTTTGTCTAGCCCAAACATCAACAGTCATGTGATCTTGAAAGAGATCATAAGCCTAGCTCCCCACCTAGGCATTATATAGCTGGTGTAGCTACATTAAGGATATATACACACATATAATGCCTTTATGTCTTCTGAGGAATAAACAGGGAACCATATTGGAAGGGAACAAGTAGAAAAATAAAAAAGTGGTAGAGCTGTAATGGCCATGGATGCATTCCTTCATTTAAATAAACATTAAATAACCACCTGATACGTGCCAGGTGCCTGTGATAGGGAGATTAATAAAATGCCTAAAAGAGAGTTCACACCTTTTGGATGATGTCTTTTTAGAAATGCGCTGAAAAAGTAACTGAAGTTTTCCCAAAGATAGACAGGATGACGCTAGTCATTATTAGAGCAAGCGACTGTGACTAGAGGCAAAAAAAATATTGATTAAACTGACAATGGCTGTTGGAGGAATATGCCAAATGGAGATTCCTAACAGAAAAAAAAAATCCCAAGGTAATATTGTAAACATGACTGGGAGAGATGTCCAACTCGCACACTTCAGACAAGAAAACAGAATAGCTTCAATCATCATGTTCCGGACAGAAAGGACCTTATGAGACAGAGAAAAACCATGTGTTGAACAAAAGGACATAATCTGGCATCTAGAATTACTTTAGAAACAGGCTATGATGTAATCTGAATGCTTGTGCCCCCCCACCAAAAATTGTTATATGGAAATTCTAATCCCCAATGTGATGGTATTTAGGAGGTGGGGCCTTTGAGAGGTGATTAGGTCACAAGAGCAGAGCTCTCACGAATGAGCTTAATGCCCTTAAAAAAGAGAGCTCCTCTGCCCCTTTCACCATGTGAGGATACAGCAAGGAAGTCAGGAAGCTTTCACCAAGAACCCAACCATGTTGGCACCCTGATTTTGGACTTCCAGCCTCCAGAACTGTGAGAGATACATTTCTGTTGTTTATATGCCACCCAGTCTGTGGTAACTTGTTATAGTATGAAAGTATTTTTATTTTCTTTACTGCAGGTACAATGGCATCCAAGTCATCAATTTCTAAGATTTCAAGTAGATGATTAGTAAATGCCTGAAATGCTGGGAAAAATTCCTCCTGTTCTTCCAGTTTGTTGATAATGCTTTGGAGGTCTTCAGGTCCCAATACCTGCATAACCTGTTCATTCATATCCTCATTAATCAGCCTACACAATTTTCCAACTGTGTTCACCAACACACACAATGAAGATGAACTATCTAATTCTAAGAGTTCTTGGAGGTTTCTCACAGCATTGTTCATTTCTCCAAGCCTAGTATAAACTTCATTCATTTGTGTGGTAACTTGTTATAGCAGTCCAAATGGACTAAAACAGGCTAATAAAAACCTATGCTAGATTATTTCTAAGAAATAGTATTTGCAAAAAAACTATGCATCTCAAGGAAAGAACCAGAGAACCAAGATGCAGAGAAATGCACCTAACAAAATAAAAGTATAATTTTAAGGAAA